CTCTCCACTCTCCAGTGAGATAATTTATTTCTTTACTTAGATCAGAAATGATAAAAAGACGCCTACCCAAGGCTGGCAGCATCCTAGAATATTCATTATTCATATGGTGCAGTGAAATAACTTGCTCAAGGACAGAGCCAGAGTCTGTCAGAGCTCAGATTCCTAGTTAAGACTGCAGTGCTTGAAATACAAGTCCATCCTGCCCCTAGAAACACAGCCCCTCAGCTCCCCACAGCCTAGACTCACAATAGCGAAAATCGTGAGCAAAAAGGAGGACAGGGAGTAAATCTGGCTTTCATCCGTCATTTTGAGGAATATAATTGAAGGCAGGGTGTGGCTGTAAGAGCCAACAGAAATTAATATAATGTCTGAATTGCTTGAAGCTTTGCTTCTGCTGTGTAGGTTTTCAGAAGGAGTTAGCTAACAGCAATCTGCAGAGAGCAGAGCTCTGGGTTGAGGTTGCCTTTCTTTCCCTTTCAGAATCCTAGGTTTAGGAGGAGACGCTGCAGATATTGGACATTTCTCCACAGGCAGGCAAAGAGCACCTACACCTCCTTCTTTCAGCAATTACCTACTAGGAAGAAGGAATAGGTTTTGCTCCACAAAACAAACTGGTTTGCAGCATTGTACAACTGTTTACATATGTCCTGGCAGAAGGGTCCACGGGCTACCGAATCCCATTTTACCAGTGAAGATTAGAAACGATCATACAGTTCCTCCAAAGTACTCATATTTGGGATATAATGAAATTCTCTGGAGCTTTGCTGTGCTCCTGACGGTTTTACTGGGACACAGAACGAGGGACTGGGACAGCAAATGCATCCAAAAGCCAGTCCCTGACCGACCAGCCTCTATTTGCCGGCCGGTTGGATGTTTTCCTCGCTGTGCGCGGGGCGGTTTCCCTCCCAGCAGTGCGGTGCTGCCCCGCGCCGATCGGCACCGAGGCCGAGCCACAGAGCCGCAGGGCTGTGTGCGTGTTTGCTGGCTCTATGGCTCTCTGCTTTCCCCGGCTGTGAGGCACCATCTTGTTCTGAAACATCTGGCAGTACCGGCTTTTTTTCCCCGCTAAACTGATTTCTCTACCTCCACTGTTGTTTTTATTTGTATTCCTGTAGTCTAAGGGCATAGCCCTGGGGCAGAACACTGTGTAGGAAAGGACTGTGCATGTCTAAGACATAAAAATGTCCCAGAAGGATTTACAACCGAAATGTAAGACAGGAGGAAGCAAATGCTTCCATACAGATGGAAGTAAAGGAAGCAATGACAGGCTATTAGCCAGAGTGATTAGCAGTGGTCTCAGCACAGTGTCAGTGCAAACGCCGTTAAGTCTTGTGGGCGTTATGGCAAAGAAGGGAGATCTGAAAGTGGACAAAAAGGTAATAAGTGTAAATATTGACACGCAATGATGGGCAGCTCGGGAGGAGGCAGGGAGGTGTTACGGTGTGGGCAGTGGAGTTTGGTCCTGTGGGAACTGCGACTGTCCTGGTGCACAGCCTCTCTGCAAAACGTCAGCCTGTCTCTTCCACGCTCTGCTCACTTTTCTTATCAAAGTTGATAATGTTTTCTTGTGTCAACTACAAGAAGGGTGTGTCTAAATTGACAGGACTTTGCTTTCATAAGCATTGCTTCAGTGATGTTTGTGCAACCACACTGGAGTATGATTTTATCTTGTCACTTGTAATTACCTTTAATAATTTGCATAATGGCCATTGGGCATCACTGATTAAACATTTCTTTGATGTGATACTGAGCCGGCACCAGACCTCATGCTCCCATCTTTCAAACGTCGACCATGACTTTTTTCTGGTTAATGACTCATTGGTTTATACCACCATGTTTAGCAAAATTCCTGTAAGGCAAGTGAAATAATTATCACAACAAGTTTGGAAACAGCATGAGCCTCGGTCTTAAATACGCCTCAGAGACCAAGGTGATTATTCTGTTTCAGTTTCTTTCTTGCTGACTGTTCACATCTTCAGACTACCTCTGAACATTTGCTAGCGATAAAGTAGAAGTTCAGCAGAACATGGAGGTGGGCCGAATGCGATTTCTTCCTACTGAAGCTCACAATCTTCCCTGATTCATTTTGTGAAGGATTTTAATTTCCTTCCACCACCTACCAGATGATGACAGTGCAGCCAGACTTCCCGGCATTTGCATCTCTGGAAGCACTACTCATTATCATGGCAAGGAAAAGTACCAGTGAATTTGTATTGGGACAGATGGGAATACTGGTGGGTGAATGAAACTACAGCAGTTTCACTCCTGCCTGGACAGCTGAGTGCAGCACAGGTAGGGAGGAAACCCAGGGCTTTAGCCTGCTGGCAGAGCCGCCTGGGTCAGCCCCGAACCCGAAAGCAGAACTGGAGCTTCCAGGTGCTTCCTGCACTCCGATACCCCAGAGTGGTACAAAAGAGACGGGCAGCCAAAGGTGTGGGCCAGCCAGAGCCTCCCTGGAGTGTCTTCTTTTTATCTTCATTTCCTACTTGTACTAAAAAGTCTCTTAATTTCAATACACTTTCAATATGTGGTTCATGCTGGCAGTTTAAATTCTTTTACTCAGTGTACTGAGCCAATAAATCTCCTGCTTGATCATAGTAGTAGTTTGCTCATCTGTATAATTCTTTATAAATGTTACACAAGCCAGTAAACAAAAATACAAACCCCACAGACAGCTACTATGGGTGTGAGTGAGACTGTACCTGTCTGCGTACTTTATAAGATAGACTTTTATAGAGAAATTATAGTTTATATATCACACCAGAATATAGGCTACTATTTAAAATGCATAGTGCCTGTAATCAAGTATAATTGCTTGTGCAGTGCAGTCCTTAACTCACGGCTGATTTCCAGCATTGGCCATTTGCAAAACTAGTTGTTTTCTGTTTCTTCACTGGTGTCTTAAATGTATGTATGTTCACTCCTCGGGGACTTTTCCTGATGGTGTTGGAATTCACATGTGTCTGCTCTCTCTGTAAGACAGAGACTGTATCTGCTATAGAGTAATCACAGTGCATCTCATCTACAGCCGCTGGTGGTGACACTGAGACCTTCTGCCCCCCGGTCCGAGCGCTGATGTAACTCCCTCTCTCCTCTCTGGGGCACCCACCCTTGGTCTTTTTATCCTTAGATTCCTCTCCCAATCTTTTACACTCAGCCTAAGCCTGAACCTTCAGTCTAAGGTCTGTCTGTCTGAGATACTCATTCTTGCTTTGCAGGATTCATACATTAAAAGAGAGAAGAACAGGCTCTTAGAAGCTCCCTGTGTGCTAGCGCGAGTGGCTGGAATAGAAGTTTGCCTGCAGTCAGTGTCCCAGCTCACCTCTTGTCCTGCCGTCCCATGCACTGCGTCCTCTGCATTTCATTTATCTTCTCTTCCCCGTCTCTTCCTGTGCTCTTTCCACAGTCGTCATTTCCCATCACTGTCCAGGTTATAAACTCATTGGGTAGGGAAGGCATCTTTTTATTTCTGCATAGCATTTAATGCGGGGACCTGAGAGAGGCTGTGTAAACACTGAGGCAGGTTAAACAACACTGAAATGCACAGTGTAATTAGTGTTGCAGAATGGGAGATACAGGACTTAGCAGAGAAAGCATTTAAAGCGGAGCCTTGACCAGAAGCTCGTTAGAGCAATTACCCCCACAGGGCTAAAGTGTCTGTTACTTGGCCGTGCCCCAGAGCTGGAGCCCTCCCGGACCGCGTGGCCCCTGGCCCTCCGTGCTGGTGCAGTCCCGCAGACATGACGTGCGCTTGGAGTTGACAGCTCAGAGCAGGAGGTGGCACGTGAGCAGACGAGGGTTTTCTGCAGAGCCACAGCATGAAACAAAAGTCCCATCTCTGCTGCAAGTTTTGCCAGGAGAATAGCTGTCTGTGGTCAAGCTTTGGCTTCTCCCCTGTTGCCATTCCAGACACACCTGAGCTGTTTCTTCCCTTTAGAAGTGGACGCTGATTCAGACTCATTGTATCCCCTAAAGTCTTTTTGTTAGAAGCCTTCACGCTAGACCTCTGTATAAGGTTAGTTGTCAAACACCCTCTGATATTTCATTACAGGAAGAGGCTAAAAGAGCCACATAATGAGGAGCAAAGATTGGAAGCACCACTCACAAATGTCTGACACGTTAGACACTGCTGCCGGTGAGAAGGGGCAGGCTGGATCTTGAGTCTTTGCTTGCACAGGCAGCAAAATGCGGCTGTGTTCCTGAATGTGTCTGTAATTCCTTTCGCTGTGGTAATAAAATACCAGCATATTTTTTTTCCTGGCTGTTTATTGTATCTTACTTTTAAAAAAACTCTCTCCCACATAATAATTTGTCTCACCCTTTTATCTTCCCACATGTTGCCAGCTGGTTCTTCCTGTTTGCCTTTTTTTTAAATCCATTTAGAAGCTCTTTATTTAGCATTTTCTCTGGGAATTACTTTCCTCCACAAGAAGGGTGTGTCAAGTCCAGCAAAGCCTTGCTTTCAAAATTACTACTTCAGTATTATTGGGGAAAACTTGTTGTTCTTGTTTTTATCCTGTTACTGCACATTTATAATAACTCAAATGTGTTGTGTATTGTATTATATTAGCACACACCTACTTTAATGAAAAGTCGATTTTCACTCAGCAGGCTCTTTCAGTGTAAGACTGTCAGTCAGCCTGCCTTGAAATTCCTTCCCCGCACTCTGTCCAGCCTCCCTCAGTGTTTCTCTCCTCATCACCTTCTACTCCATCTCTTAGTTCATGCTTCCTCCTCTGGCAGCCAACATCCCTTTCCACAGCATCAGCTGGTCCCTTTCCTCCATCCTCCTGCAGCCACTGAACTCAGCAGGAGCAGCGTGTCAGATGGGAACATTGCTTATTTTTCTTTTACCTTTGTAATGATTGCTTTGTGGATATAGATCAAAGGTGGGTTTCTAACCGAAGGTGTATGATAAATATAACTATCTGTGTAACAATTTTTTCAATACTCGTGTATTAATTTACTTCTAGAAATTATTTCTCAGGTTCAAGGCTATGTCAGTACTAGCAAAGTTTTATTAGAGACAAGCTTTGGTAGTTGTGAGACAGCTGACCGCAAAACAGATTAGCCCAAGTGAAGACTAGTGATTAGATCAAAGCAGCACCAGAGGATGAAGGCAGCAGGCAGCGTGGGTGGCAGGATGGCAGCCGTTCTGCAAAGACCCTTCCGACTGGTGCTATAAGCAGAACTGAGAACTGTCAGGTTATTTTTGTCTTGCTTTTTCCAAATGGTTTGTTCCTTGAGACTCCTCAGGGGGACGTGCAGTGGGGCTGGCAGAGAAGCTTTCTCGTCTGCAGTGACCTGCCAAGGGAGATCAGGAAGCATTGCTTTGTCAGGCCTTTCGTCTGCACACCACGCCTTTCTCTTACATCCCCCTTGCTCTGGTACTGACCCTTCTTTTCCCTCTTCTCCCTAGCTTGCTTAATTTTATATACTTGTTGAAAGACTTGTGACTGTCTGATTCCCCCTGCCAGTTCCTCATTTTTGTGTGCTGAAAGTCTTATTTAAACCCATTTACTACTAGTAGACCCCCAGTGTCAAACAATTTCTGTGCATAAATTCATAAATGCCCCATAGCTGCATCCCTTGCTACTGCTTTCTACCATCGCTCACTTCATCCCCGGGCTCCACCTCCACCTCTCACAACTGCGATCCTGCACGGCTGACTCCCTGCACTGCCTCTCTCCAGGAGACAGACTCTCTCCAGCCCCTCTTCACCACACAGAAGAGCCTGGAGATAGATCTCTCATCCTCCTCTTCCCCAGGTACGCAGTGGGTCGAAAGAAGCAACTCACGGTCCCGCTCAGAGGCTGCTAGAGGACACGTCACCTTACCCATCCTCACCCAGAGCGCCCGGGCTTAGGGCAGGCATGGCTGACACAGGCTGGCTTTCAGCCCCCCGCTTCTCCCGGCTGATGCCGCAGGGACTCCTCTTCCCGCCGCCCCTCTGTGGAAAGGAGAGACAGCTCCGGTGACCAAAGCCCCATCACTCCCCCCTGGAGATCTGCCCCGTGACCTGGAGCTGCTCCTAGCATGGGCTTTCGCTCCGTCTTCGCTCCCTGTCGGACTTTTCCCCTTTGAACCACGAGGGTCATGAAGAGCAGCAGTTCGCGCGTCCTCCACGCTGCCCGTCTGTGACAGCTATTGCTTTTCCATCTTGACACGCTCAGGATTACCCCGGGCTCTGAGACAAGCTCTGACAGTCTCATTTCATCCATTGCAACTGGCATTTTGGCACAAGAACTGATTTTTCATGTAACTAATTTAGGACTGGATGGTCCAGGAGAGCCCACCTCGGGGCACCACCATTAAAATACCTCTTTTTCCAAACTAATGGAGCAGGTGGGTGCTCCGGCTGGTTATGTGTGTATGCAGCCATTTATGAGATTAACAGCATGCCTCATTGTTTCAAAATCTCAGGCACTGGGAGGCAAGGAAGAGCCAACTGCTTTGCATACAAATTAAATTCCCCAAACTTTAATTAAATTGTTGTGTGAAACTGAAAATGTTTAGATAATTTATTGTTTCGGTTAATTTAACTGCCAGTCCCTAATCCTGTCTAGCTGTGGCAAAGCCAATAAAACTCAGTTACATGACAGTGTTCATAAAAGACCTTGCCCAGCTCCCGGTGGAAGCCGCCCTGCAAGGAGCTGGGAGCTGCACCCTGCCCGGGGGCTGGGACGGCTCTGGGGGCCTCTCCCGGCCGCCCTCCCTGGCCCAAGGAGGGGAATGGTCCCCAGCTTGCACTCTGGACATAGACCAGAGCCAAATCCTCCGACGCCTCGTGGCACCTGTCTGGTAACAGGTCAGTACTGGTCCCTCACCACAGTGTTGCTTTTACCATTCGTATCACGGATTTTCATATCCCTGTAAGTCAAAGCATAGAGATTTTACTGCGCCCGGGTCTGTCTGTAGTCTGCGTACATGATGTCGTGCTGTCCGCCCTCCAGCAGGCAGTGGTAGGTCTGAATCTCCTGCTCCAGGCGGCATTTGACATCCAGGAGGGTCTTGTATTCCTGGTTCTGGCACTCCATTTCTGCTCGAATTTCAGCCAGCCGCTGCTCCACGCAGGAGATCTGATTCTGCAGCTCAGCCAGGTATTTGTTGTAGCGACATTCGGTTTCCGCCAAAGAGGATTCCAGGTTTTCTTTCTGAGAATGGAAACAGCACAAAGGTACGTGGGCATGCTGCAGTCTTAGCCCAGCTGGTTATGGCTACGACTCTGTCAGGCAGGTTCCTAAAGAGAGCTGCGGAGTCTGCGAAGTGAATCGCAGTGGCATCACCTACCATGGTGAGCTGGGCCTGCACATTGATTTCCAAGGCCTGCAGCTGGCGTCTCAGCTCAGTGACCTGTTTGTTGCTTGACTCGATCTCCTGGCTGCTTGTGACGACCTCCAGATTCACCTCCTCCACCTGCAAAGTTAGAAAAAAGCACCCCTTTCCTCACCTCGCCACAGCATCTCACTGGGCAAGGAGCTTCACTGCACTGCTTGTGCATGCCCTGCAGTGCACCTGAATATTTCCAAATCTGACGCCCCCCCATTTATTCCACTGTGCCCCTGTGCCATCATGCAGTGGCCCCTCTGCCATGAACAGAAGAACACCGAAATTGGGCAGTACAGTCCGATGCTGAGCCCATCTGCTACACAATTGCTGATATTAAGACATCTCCAGCAAGTATTCTCATTCTCTCATTTTTCCCTTTTCCCCTAACAGGCAGAGTAGGGTACAGCTCTGCACACATATAGTACCTTGCAGGCATACCACTGCTCAGTCTCTTTGCGGTTGCGCTCCATCAGCGTTTCATACTGGCACCTCAGATCCTCCAGGATCTTCCTCAGGTCTGGGCCGGGGCAGGCATTGACCTCCACGCTCACATCTCCAGTCGCCTGTTTCCTCAGACAGCTCATTTCCTGCAGACAATACGTGCACCGTATCAGTAATACTGACACTCGGAGGACTTCCCCTCTTCTTTCCTCTTAATTCTCTAAGAGTAAGGGGCAATCTAACCTCCTCGTGGTTCGTCTTGAGACAGCACATCTCTTCGGTCAAAGCCTCACACTGTAGCTGCAGGTCGGTCTTGCAGCTGGCCAGCTGGTCCAGGACCGGGCGTAAGTTGCAAATGTCCGTGTCCACGTTTTGCCGGAGACCACACTCGGTCTCGTACCTTAAGCCACAGGCAACAAAGAAAGGTCAGCATGTCAGTAAGCCATGGCAAGCCCTTGAGTCGAGTTTACGGGGAAAAAATTTAGAATCAAGTTCTTCTTTTGCTTCAGGCATGCAATGCTGTGAACATTGTCAATGGTATCCACACCTTTCACAGAGATCTGCATTTTAATACAACAGCATGACAAGCCGAGGGCCAGGGTCTCCCCACCACCACCGCTCACCTACCCTTCCACGGGCAGTGTGAACCCCTCAGACCCGCACAGGACCGTACTCACTTCACTCGGAAGTCATCAGCAGTCATCCTGTTGTTATCAATATTCAAAAGGATTTTGTTAGTCTCCATGGCTGCACACAGGATCTAGAAAAAAAAATGTAGGAGAGAGATTTGGGCTTGCAGCGTCCTCGAGCTACAGCAGGCTCTGGAGGAAACACCTAGGTGGGATAATGCAACCCACTCATTTTGTAGTGATTCCATATATTGGGATTATTAATCAGTTAGATGGCATTACAGTGGGGAAACCCATGTGCCAGCTTGGTGGAGCAGGCTGTGCTGAAACTTCAGCTCTCTGGACATGCAGTGTCCTCCCTCCTCAAACCATCCGTTTCAGGTACAGCATTGCTTCATCCGCACGGCCAGAGACACAGCTGTTGCCTCTGCCATTTGACACTGGTCTATCCACATGTGAAAGCAAAGCCCAAAGAAATATTTTCTTGAAAAACAATGGTTTACCTGGTTTTGAAGGTCTTCGATCTCCTTATGAAAACAGCTGTAGTCCCGTGGTTCGCAGCTGGGCCCTACCTTGGCATACCACTCCCTGATCTTGCACTCGAGGTCGGCGTTGTCCCCCTCCAAGAGTCGCACCTTGTCCAGGTAAGAGGCCAAGCGGTCGTTGAGGTTCTGCATCGTCGCCTTTTCGTTGTTAGCAAATAAGATCCCATCACCGCAGCCAGCGCTGGCCCTGGTGAAGCCGCCACCAGCGCCTCGAGTGCAGATGCCTCCACCGCCGAATCCAAGGGCGGAACAAGCCCTCTGCGTGACTCCGAAGCTCCCACCAGCAGCACTGCCGGCGCTCAGCTGCTTCCCAAGCAATCCCTCGCTTAAACTGCCACCGGAAAAACTGCCAACCACACCGCCTAAGTCATAGGCAGCGTGTCTTCCCGAGGAGGCGGAGGAGACCTTTCTTCCACTACCAGCTGCAGAGCTGCCCACGCTGCTCCTGCCCTGGGAACAGGTAGGAACAACCTGCCTGACGGCACAGCTCATGGTGAGAGCGCGAGGATCCACGCGGCAAGCTGCACGGGTCGCTGCGGGATCCGATTGTGATCCCTCTGTCCCCATAGTCCTCTATTTATACCATGCCTTGTGGATGCTGCCACCGGAGAAGGGCTGTTTATTCTTCCTCCTTGTGACCTGGCTAGCACTATTTTTTTTTTTTTTTTTGCAGCCGGAAATATTTCCCCAAAGGCATCTGTCTCTAGAAATCCCACAACAGAAAGATGCTTTGGTTAACAGAAGCGTGTTTCAAAACTACATCAAAAATGTTACTTCCTGAATCATCAGGTCTGACTTGTGATGACAACTAAACAGTGACACAAAAAACAACGATACCCGAGAGTGCCCGGGGAATGAAACATCATAGCAATTATCCATCCCTGACGTAGGCGAGTCTACGCGGAAAGTGAAAGCTGTGGGAAAGTCGTCCTATCTGACAGAGCCTGTTGGGGCCCTTTGTGAGCAGAAGCGAGGTGCCCCCTCCTCCAGCTGCCCTGCAGGCGGGGGCCGGGGCCGGGGACCCCCTGGACCGTGCTGCCCTGCAGGCGCCCCCGGCGAGGGCCCGTCCCGCTCCACGGGGCCCTCAGTCGAGGGAGAACCTGCCCAGGTCTGGCTCACGGGCCCGCGAAATGCTCTTCTCTTGGAGAGCACAGTGTTGCACCTGAATGTGCCACTGATTGTTTGTTTTTTCCCTTTCTCCTGCACACGTCAAAACATCCCCTTTCAGAGGGGAGATCCCATGATATTTGTTTTGACTCTTTCAAGGGCAGACAAAATATTCAAATATTTATCCAAAATAAAAGAAAATAGGATATTTCCTGAGACTCAAATGTTGCAGTTAACTATAAATATTCAGTGTCAAAAGAGAACAGCCACATAAAATGTTTCGTGAAATCTGTAGAACAATAACGTGGAGAATTTCAGAAGCAGCCTGATCTGTATAGGTCTGACCCAATTCCAACCAGCACCATGGAAATTCTCCAAATCTAATCTAGAGGAAATGTGTTACATTTAGAAAAGACACTAGAAAATATAATTTTTAAAAAGATATTAAACCTATTTTTTAGACTTGGAATTCTGAACTGAGGAAGAAGGGAAATAATTAAAATGTTTTGTCATCTGAATCTTTCATTTTATTAATGCTGTTAACACAGCCATGCTAATATTGGCTGACATTCACCCATGTGCTGTTCAGCACTGGGTTTGGCATCCAGGTCACCCGGACACATCACATAAAGGATGCGTCAGGTGCAGCCAGTTTCAGAAATATTGCTTATGCCGTTTGGGTAAATTCATTAGTCTTGATTTTATCTTGGCACCTTACATGTGGTGTGGGTTCTGTGTATGTCCATCCTTTGTTCCAGCCATAATTAGCAAGGGAAGCCCGTGCCCCGGTGCCGCGGCGTGCCTCAGCGCCGGCCAGCTCAGGGTCAGGAGGAGGCACCTCGGCCGGGGAGCAGCTCGCTGCTGGGGCCGGAGGCGGCCGGGAGCAGAACGGGGCAGAAGCTGCCTCTTTTCCGTAGCACAGCTGTAAAATTGATGCTGAGCTAACGTTTAATTTCCTTTAATTGAGAAATACATAGTCCGTCATTTTTCAATGAGAAAAATTAAAATACTAATGAGTGGGGGTTTTTTTCAATTATTGAAAACTAAGCAGAAATGCTCACATTTCTTTCTTACTTTTGAACTTCAGACCTTGCAATAGGTGTCTGTAGCCCAAGGTGATTAGAATTCCTACAGCTTTTGTAAAGGAGAATAATAATTTCACTCCTGATTTTACTGGATTTGTGTGTTCTTCACAGTAGCTTTTTTTCCTTCTCAAAATTTGAAATTTTGATTGAAAAATAGCTTTCGCTTTTACACCAGAGCATACCTCAAGATCTGCCAGCAGTTACAGTCCTCATTTTATTAAAAGAGATTTTCATATTTTTATGAGAAGATCTGTTAATGACGGTATCTGCATGCGTAATGGAAGGCTCTTTCCAGAAATAACTTTTATTGACTTCCAGACTAGAGTCTAGAGATGGAAATTTGCTCACCACAGCCTTGTAGCCAGCCACGGGCAATGCCTCTGATGAGCCACCCCCGGCTGACTTGGGAGCCCCTTGCAGACAACGCTGTGCCCCCAGGGAGCAAGAGGAGGAGAGAAATGATGGTGTACGAGGAGGATTTCCCGGCAGGCGTTTCAGAAATGGCAGTGCAGGCCTGACAAGGAAAAATTATTACTTCAAGTAACAAATGAGCAGAAAAACCTCCCCTAGGCAAAGGTGCTGCTCCCGTTTAATTAGCTTTATAAAAAATAGAAAGAAAGGAATTGTACTTCAGCTTTACATTTCCGTCTTGTACTGTGCTTCATAGGGGAGAGCAGGATGGTGGCAGGGGATGGGCACTGTGGCCTTATTTCCAAGGGTTGTTCTGCTGCACAAAATTATCAGGTTCAGAAAGGCCATGGAAATGAGAAAGAAAGATTAGATTTCCCCAGAGGGAAGTCCTTTGGTAGTCTCGGGATATTTTAAGGCTTAAGTCTGTTTCTTAAGCTAATGCATATGAAGTAGAGAAAGCGTAATGTGCCCCCAAGAGGGAGATCCAGCATTTCACGTTTTTACAGACGTTCCCGGAGTCACTGGCTGCTCCCACGTCCAAGACAACTTCCCTGGAGACTCGGTGACTCAGACACGACACCAAACGCCGCGTCCCCGCGGGCGCCCAAGCTGCTGCCCGTCACCCCGCGCGGCTGCGCGCCCAGCCCGGCGCTGGGCTGGAAGCAGCTGCCAGCGAGTGCCAGGGCGGGGGGCTGAGCGCCGGGGGCTGCCGGCGGCCGGGACACCCGCCTGGGGCTCCCGCGCGTCCCCCAGGCTGTGCCCCCGGCCCCGGGAGCCGTCCCAGGCTACAGGACAGACCTACACCCAGCCCCAGCTCCTGTCTGCTCGCTGTCGGCTAAGTTTCGGTGTTCCACCTATGGAGAATTCTTGGGTTTGCTATTTATGAAGTATTTGCTTATCTAGCTATTGATGTAATTGTCATTCCGCCTTTTTTTCTGCGTGATACTGGCTGTACCGAAACCAATCTCCATCTTGCTGATGGCACCGGGCGCTCCAGGGTGCTGAGCCCAGCTTTGCGAGTCACTCTAGGCAAATCGTTCAGCTTCAAGTCTCAATTTCATGCTTTGTAGGGTGGAAACGATAATAACAGTAATCCTTCTTCTCAAGAGCACTGTGAAAACAACTGTCTGATGCGAACATGGAGCTTTAAAGGTGGGAAACATGATACTCATTTTAAGTATTATTCATTGTAAGTATTCTTGCTATTATATACTAAGTTTGGCACTGGCACATCCCACATATTTCTCTCTGTGTCTCAGCTGATGAAATACCTTCCAAGGACGTCCTTGGTTTTCCTTTTTTTGTTTTGTTGTCCATTAAAGTTTCACCATTATTTGATTAATTTGATATTTTCCTTCTATAATTCCTTGCTGAACCCTAACAAGGCTTTTCTTGTTCTGCTTGCATCTTGCAGAAAATTTGAAAAATCCTCTCCAAAAACAGTGTTTGTCCGTCTCTTGGAATGGATAATTTGTCCATGTTTCACAGATACAAACCTCGTGTAGCAAAGAGTAGTAATAAAAAATAAATTGCCTAATAGTTATGCGGTATTTTCCTTCCTCAGAGTGCTGTAATGTAGCACAGTGATTACTTGTGCTGAGCTTGGACTTCTCTCTTGTTTGTGGTAATAGGGTTAAGTGGAGCTGTATGCAGAATTTAAGCCTTTTTCCTTGATGCAAATATATGCTGATGAATAAGGAAAACTCCTGATAGGATCCTCCCAGTGGAATCCAGTGATTACAAACCTGGGCTTTCCATCAGCTCTCCCAGCTATTCTCCCAGCTCTTCTCAGGTATTCATTTCGGGTACGTGGATATCTTACTTAGCACTGGGTGACATACCAAAGAGAGCTAAATATGCTGCTTGATAAATCCCTCCCTTGTGTCCTTTCGGCTGCAGAAGTGGCCATGGCATACTGTGCTGCCAGCAGAGCCAGATACTCTTGGACTAGCCTGTTCTTTTAGCCTCCTTGTATTTAATCCATAATGTTTGTGGTTTTCAGAAAGCCTTTCTGTATTCATACACTTGAGGCATTCTGCAGATGATGCAAAAGTTAAAAAGCTGCCATTATCAGCTGAAATACAACAAATCTCCTCTAATGGAAAAAAAAAAAAATAATCACATTTTCAGTTTAATCAGAATTTCCAGCCTGCACCCTTGCCCGTTGCCATAAAGTCTAAGTCAGCTTGATGCAAAAGTACATTGTTGCTTGATTTAGTTTTTATTTTTGAGATGGCTCTAGCTCACTTGGCTTGGGAGACTTCCTGTTTCTGCAAGGAAGGCCTCTGCTATTCCACCCAAGAAAAGCGTGCTGCGGTCAATGGACTCTGCACTCTGCTCTGTGTTTCATTTCCTACCCTTTTCCTTAATTGCTGAACAGTAATAAGAATGATAACATCTCGTCACACTCCCTTTTCTGGAAAGACCTGGCAGGTTCCCCACTTCTTCGATCACCTTCCCTCTCCTTTGCCCGTCCTGTCATGCCCAGCGTGACACCATCAGCTTTCTTCAAGAGTCTGTTCAGGCCAGGGAACGTGCCTTTGTAATTCTTCAGTAAGGACCGGGATGCCTTTTTGGAGGCTGAGGGACAATAAATCATCAGAATAATCCAAGAGACAGGCATGCTTAACTTCAGCCGCAGAAGCCCCTTCTACGTCCCTGTAAGCAAAGGGAAGCTGATTTACTGTAAACTATTAACTTTTCCTTTTGTCTAAGGCCCAAATCTGTGTTCTGGAGGCGGGTGATGAACATGAGGCCATGGTCCAAGGCTGGACAGAGCTCCCAGGCACCACCGGCGAGAAAGCGTGAAGTTGGATCTAAGTGATTCCATCGGGCTTTTGGGTCTAAAATGATTTCCTCTCCTCTCTTGCCCTCAAGACACGTTCGGCGGGCGTGCGGCCAGCGCAGCGTCCTCCGGTTCCACGGCCACACTGCGGGACGTGGGTGGGCAAAGGCCGCTGCGGTGCCTGGCTGCCAGCGCACGAGCTGCGTCACCTAATCCTGGGCGGCAGCTTGCCTGCAGACCTTGTTGACATACAGTAACTAGCTCGTGTCTTTAAAGAAGGATTTTAGCAGTGATCCACTAGATGCTATAGTGATAAAAAATGATTGCCACTCATCCCTCTCGGATTAAGCAATGGTTGCTTTGGAACTGTTAAGTGCAGCCCCAGGGCAACATGAAAAGTCCTGTATTAAGTTCTCGTACCATGTGCCTAATAGTGTGATTTAAAGGCAGTCAAAAAGGACAGAGGGCATGTATGCATACGATGTGCCAACCAGTCTGGTGCTGTGCTCGTGTCTCAGAACGGTGAACATGACAGTAGTAGTCCTGATGAAGTCATTTAAGTTCAATTTACATTAGAAAGTGATACTTTTATGATACCAAGGGTTACAGAGCTGAGCTTTATTTTGTTGGCTTTAATTATCAGTTGTGTGACACATTGACCTCAAGCATCATCCTTCCATCATTGCTGTCATTTTATATCAGACTTATCTGGTTTATGTCTCGGTCAGTCCCGTGTATTTATGAGCAATGAGTTCAGCAGAAAAAGCTGTCTCAAGTTATTTTTGTTCCAGGTGGAGCCCATATCCCTCCATTCCCCTCTCGCTGGCTTCTTCTTGTGGTTTCTTAGGACTTTCCCTGGCATGAACACACAACCCTGAGGCTTCGAGGGCTCATGTATCAGTGACAGACAAGTCTGCAATTGCATGAATGAGGAAAAAAGCTTTATTAAATGCGTACAGAGTGCCCAGTGGCACCTGCATGAAATGGGGGGAATACAGGAAGGAGGAGCAGATGAATGAAGCCGACTGCTTTCTGTGACACGACCCCGTCGCCCACGGCCTCAGCCAGTGCTTGGTGCAGCTCGCTGCTCTCTTGGGCCTGGGCTCGAGGCCCCACGGAGCTGCTTGCCCTGCTAGCGAGTGGTGAGCGCAACCTGCTCCCGGGAGGAGACCACCTTCCCGTCCTGCACCTCCTCAACGATTGTGCGGACCTGACGGGAAGATGTCATGACTGCAAAAGGAAAACGGACAATTATTCAGAGGGCAGCAAGGAGGGAAGTTTCTTAGCACACTATCAGATATTGCGTCTTTTTCAGTAGATGTCAGAAATTCCGCAGGGTACTGGAAAAATGCTGTTTTAAACAACCCTGCGTTGGCTAGGGAGAGGGAAGAGCAGGCTGATGGGAAAGCCCAAGAAAGGAAAAGCCACGCTTCTTAAATGTGTGGTGTCGCTTGATTCTTCAGGTCTGTGTAAAGCCAGGACGCTGGCTCCTCAATCACAAGGCCCGTTTAGGGCAAATCATTCTTGTGGTAAAGTCCCTTCCTGACAGCTTTTTCCTGTGGTCAGCAGCTGTAAGATGCACACAAGCTCTCTTGACAGCTGTCACTGATCGAGCCAGCAAGGTGGCACAGCGCGCCCGAGGAGTGATTTTCACTCCATCAGTCGGGGGGCTGCTCTAAAAGCAGCTCTCAGAGCTGTTTGTTATAAATGAGCGTGGCAAGACAGGTTCTTACCATCTCTGCCCGAGTGTGAGGACATCGCGGAGGAATACTGGGAAGAGATGCTACGAGAGAAGGAGAAAAACAAAGAGAAGTTTAGGAACAAACTCTTTTTTGTTGTTGTTGCATAAGCTCTGCATTCAGGCAAGAGGAAAACAGAAAAGGCTCAGCAGCTCCTAAAACTACCGCTCTGCCCAGCGTCTCCCGGAGGGCAGAGGGGCCACTGCCCCCCCCAGCCCGGAACGGTGCCCGCGAGAGCCGCGCACTGCAGACAGGACCCAGGGACAGAACCGCTGGGCAGCGGGGCTGCCGTGAGCGTGGAGATGGACCCTGAAAGCTGCCACTGGACCGAGTCCCCGGGCAGCACATTCCGTGTCCGCCACCCGTCCCCTCCCGGAGCGCCGGCCCCAGCGCAGCCCCGCTACGTACTGGGCGTCCTCGCCCTCCAGCAGCCGGCGGTACGTGGCGATCTCCTGCTCCAGGCGGCATTTGACGTCCAGCAGGACCCTGTACTCGTGGTTCTGGCGCTCCATGTCGCAGCGCAGCTCGGCCAGCTGCTCCTCCACGCTGGTGATCAGCCCCTGCAGCTGGGCCAGCTGGGTGCCGTAGCGGGCTTCCGTGTCGGCCAAGGTGCCCTCCAGCGCCGCTTTCTGCGCGCAGAGGAGAGGGACGGGCTCAGGGGGGCCCGGGGGGCGGCGGGGCTGGGGGCACCCGCGCGGCCCCCGGCCCGCGCCCCCCTGCGAGGGGGCCGGCCCCTCGTACCGTGCTGAGCTGGGACTGCAGGTCGATCTCCAGGCTCTGGATGGTGCGTCGCAGCTCCGTGATCTCCGTCTTGCCGCTCTGAAGCTGCTCCGTGTTGATGGCCACCTCCCGGTTCAGCTCCTCCGTCTGCAAGCGGGCAAACCCGCGCCGTTAGGGCACCGGCGAGCGGGCACAGCCCCGGGCCCCGCGCGCCCCGCGGCACGGCCGGCAGCCAGCTCACCTTGCTGAAGAACCACTGCTCGGCGTCCCTGCGGTTCTTGTCCGCCAGGCTCTCGTACTGCTCCCGCATCTCGGCCAGGATCTTGGTGAGGTCGATGCCAGGAGCAGCGTCCATCTCCACGCTGATCTCGCCACCCACCTGCCCGCGCAGGGCATTCATCTCCTGCCACACGAGACGCACAGGGTACATGTCAGAGTGAAATCAGTGTATCATCGTGACAAATTTCTTATTTGCACCCAGCACACCAACCCCACAGACCTGGAGGTCTCTCTGAAAGGATTGTTTCCCTCCCCCTTGCCCTCTTGAGTGTCTCACGACACCCCTAATCGCCCAGATGCTCCTGCGTGTTTGACCTGACCACTTTCCACTGTGCACAAGCTACATTTTGTAGGTCCCAGTCTGAGCCCGGCTCTGTGCTCACCTCCTCATGGTTCTTCTTCAGATAAGCCAGCTCCTCCTTCAGGTTCTCGATCTGCATCTCCAGGTCAGCTCTGGCCAGGGTCAGCTCATCCAGGACCCTGCGCAGGCCGTTGATGTCGGCCTCCACGCTCAGGCGCAGAGCCTGCTCCGTCTCAAACCTGGGGGGACACACGCACACACACAGCTGATACCGGTTTTTTCTTGTTGTCCTTTCCCAGTTTGGCATATTTATGCCAAGCATCTTTTATTAAATGTGCATGCACAGCTCCCCACAGTGCAGGAATGTCAAGGCAATGCTGGTCCAGGAAGAGATGTACCCTTCCCAATTGTCACACTCCTAGTGAGCAGTGACCTGGTGGAGCAACCTCAGTTGCCGAAAGCAAAGAAAAGCTTTAAACAGAGTGGCTTTTCCCTCCCTTCCCATAGGAGCTCTCAAAGGCATTGGACTTACTTGGTTCTGAAGTCATCCGCTGCCAGCCTGGCATTGTCAATCTGTAAGACGATGTTGGCATTTTCCACAGTTGCAGCAAGAATCTGGAGGGGGATAAAAGAAAACTAGAGAGTGAAAAAGTACTTCCAAAAAATGCCACACTGCTGCCTGAATTCCCGTTCAGAAGGACTGGAGCAGCACCCAACCTCCTGCCCGCGGGGCTGGACTCCCACATGGACTCTGCAAAGACACACAGGCTACTCGTGCTCCACCTCTCGTTGGCACCGAGTCCGCCGCGTGAAGACGCTGGCACGCACCCATGCCACAGCCTGCTGTCCCCGCTGGGGCGGCATCTCCAGGGGCTCACACCACGCTCGGGGCTCTGCCTGGCCGTGCTGAGCAACCCAGCTGGGAAGGAAAAAGGGGTTGAGGAAGGAGTGGCTTGTGCCTGAATTGTTTTGCTTTCGTAATTACACCTGAGGTGCAAATTCTTGTTCTGGGATTTTGAAAATGATTGGCCATTTAATGAGCAGTAATTTCTGTAGCCACAAGCTAATAAAAAGCTCTCGCTGAGTTCTGATGCTTCAGGGGATATCCAAGCAGTAATCCAGGAATATGGATGTGGTAATTTCCCAGTTGTGGTACGGAAGGGGAGGGAAGGGTCTGCCTCCCTCTGGATCATGAGCAGAGGGTTTCTGTGAGACCCAGCACTTCATTGCTCAAATCTGGAGACAGCATCTGCCTCCACATGTTTCTGTGCTCCAGATCAGAGCACACCTGACAAGCTGGAATTTGAAGAGAAGTTTTGTGCATCAAGGCAAGAGCTCTTCACCCCGAGGTGAAGCCCAAGAGAAGGGTTAAAGGACTGAAAAATGCTAGGTATGTGATTGCCCCCAGGGGCTGACCCCTGAGCCTGCAGTCCTGCCCCATTTCCCTGGAATTTACTCTCACAGACAGGTACTGTCATTACTCAACCGCCCACGCCTCCATCCCCTGAGCTTACTAAGGATGCTGTCACCACACACGTAGGCAGTGGTGAAGGACCAGGCAATCAGCTCCGGATGAGTAATGTGGGCAGGGGGAGAACAGCGATGGCAGGCGGGAAGGGAAGGACAGGTTCTGGTGCTTTTGTTCAAGGGCCTTTGCCTAAAATCAGCCAGGGAGCTGCTAAGAATAAAGAAAGAAGCTTGGCCATGATTTCCTCCACTGCATTTTAGAGCAGGGCACACACTTGACTTCTGCACCTCTGAAGCCGCCTACCACAGCCCAGTATGTTCCGACTCCTGGATTTCACTCGTGTCTATGTTTGCACCTCCCAAAGAACAACCATCCCATAGTGCAGTTTCTTTCTTTCTTAACCTCTACCTTGAGCCTCCTATCAGGCTACAAAAGATGTGATCTGTAGGATATTTATGAGAATGACTTATCATCTCCATTTGCATATCGTTCAGTGGTGAACAGTGCCAAAGAGATAGCGTGTCCCTGCCTGCAGAGTGCTTCATCGGGAGCCCGGCGGAGGGAGCACATACGTGGGACATAGGAAGCATCGAGGAAGGGCAGGGGAGGACCGGCGTGGCAGCACGCTCCCCGTGGCGTCGGGCAACCTGAACCAATGTCTGGCCACTGCCTCCTGCTTTCCTGCCCTGCCTTTCTCCCCGCCCTGAAGCAGTCAGTAGAAGACCCATCTTTGTGCCTTGTGCAGGACATGACCAAGAAACTGCTGTTCATAAACTATGACTGTTATTTCCAAGAATGCTTTTTCTGTTTTCCCATCTCAGACCAATTACCGGTCATTTGTTAATATGCTTCCCTTCAGCTTGTAGGAACAGGGTCATCTTTTTCAAAGTGACTCTAATGAAGATGTCTTGGTAATCACAGCGTCCTACCTTGTTCCTGAGCTCCTCAATAGTCCTGTAGTAGGGGCTGTAGTCACGGTCTGGACCAGGTCCCTGCTTCTTGTACCATTCCCTGATCTTGACCTCCAGGTCCGTGTTGGCCTCCTCCAGGGCACGCACTTTGTCCAGGTAGGCGGCCAGGCGGTCGTTGAGGTTCTGCATCGTCTCCTTCTCGCCAGCCGGGAGGATGCCATCGCCGCCCCCAAAGCCGCCCCCAAAGCCGCCCCCAAAGCCGCCCCCAAAGCCAGCCCCATAGCTGCCCCCAAAGCCACCGCCGAGGCCCCCTCCTACGCTGCTGCAGTAGCTGCCCCCGTAGCCACTTCCGAGCCCCGAGACGATGCGGGAAGAGACGGAGTAGCTGCCAGAGGCGCCGTGGACGCTGGGGGCTCTGTACCCTCCTCCCCCAACACGCACGGAGGAGAGCCTGCTGGAGCCTCCACCCAGGCCACCGAACCCCTTGAGGGAGGTGGAGGAGGAGTATTGCCTGACCGTGGTGCTCATGGCGAGGGCTGGCGGGGGCTGGCGGGCTGCGGAGAGACACCCGGCTCGGCAGCGCAGGCAGCGAGTGCTCGCTTCCCCCGGCCGGGAGCCCTTTATAGCCCGGGCGGGAGGCGTTGCCGGCGCTTTTTTTTTTTTTTTTTGTTGCATTCCCGATGATTTTCATCACTCCTAAAATCCGAGCCAACTTCCAGAATCGTCATTTTTGCCTTTGTTCTATTAATGCTTTTTGTCATATTCCACTAGAAACTTTTTATCTCACAAAGGGCGTCTTTATGATTCTTCCGTTTCCAAGTAAATAGTCAGGTGTGATTCAAAGTAGGACACTCCTAGCTCAGGGCTACATTTTAATACTGCTTTGTACTGTTAGCTCTGAAACAGAGCTGTTCAGACAGCGTTTCGATGGAGTATGTCAGCATCTCCTTTACTGTCTCTTTTTGTCCCAGCTCCTACGGTTTCCTGTCTGTCCCTGGGCCGTACACACAGCACACCTGCAGGGACAACAGCCGTGCCATGAAACCCTGAATGTACACCTCCAGTCCCGTGAGTAAATGGTGCTAGAAGGAACTTGGCTACCAAGCCTGGAAATACAAGTCTGCTCTTTTATCCACAGAGAGGGATGTTCTGTAACGAAACAGCAATGCAAAGGGAGTTCATGCTTCAGGGCTCATTCGGTTCTTCGCTTCGTTGCAGAGACCACCCAAGAGTGGAGGAATACGAACAGGCAATAAGCAGGGGATGTTTTGTGTTCTTTTCTGTGAACGAGAGCCTGGAAGACCATCCAGAAAGGGCAGGGTATGGCTACTAGATGGCATAACTTATAAATTTTAAGATGCTCCAGGAAAAAAATGTGGAATAGCATGAAGTAAATGAAGGATGTAAGGAAAAAAGCTGCTGGTCTCTAAGCACGGTGAACAAGAGCGCAAAGTTGACAGTAACATATCTTAGCAGCTAATGCTAACGATGTTTTCTGTGATGAACATCTCAATCAGTTGTGACCAGGGAGGGCAACTTCAGTGTGAGTTTGGAGTTTATGGCTCCCATGTAAACAGAGCTTCAGGAGAGGAACCGGTTGCCTCTGAAGAGCAAAAAGGCTCAAGAACCGGGTGCACCAGGCACGGTCAAGCTCCGCTGTCTGTTCTCTGTGCTGACCTTGCGTCACGGGCAGAAACCACAGATCGGAGTGTCACTAGCTAATAACGCAGGGTGTGGAGGGGAAGATATTTTTCTTGTGTGTACACAGTGAATTGTTTGACTGTCTTTGCAGACAGGCCCCAACAACCCCTTCCCAACAGCCAAGTTCTTCCTTAGATCATCTGCCAAAGGAGGGGGGAAAGAGTATGGAAATAAGGAACAAAGGTACGTTTCTGAGTAGCTTTAAAGAGCACGACTCCCTCCCCTCTATCTGGGGAAAGCTGGAACCGATACGGGAGTGGGATGTGTCCTTGGAATATCGGGAGTTGGCTGCAGTGGAGGAGCCACTGGGGAATGGAGACAAGTCTGTACGACTCGGAGATCTGGAGAACTGGAATCTCCACCGTGTTTGCTCTGGCCGGAGGACGGGCTCAGGCTCTTGGCGGCAGCAGCTTCGTGTCGCGCCAGCGGCAGGAGTCGGGCGCGGAGCCAGGGACGCCCACTCTCTGCTCGTCCTCCCCAGGTGTGGACGGCAGAGGCGCAGCAGCGTGGGGCGGCCGGGGGCTGTAGCTGTGAGGAAGGTGCTTTCTCCCACCTTCATCTCCTCACCTTCACCCGGGCGATGCAAAAGGGCAGAACCCGGGGTTTGTCCGTGCTGCATGTGGCGGTGGCACGGAGAAAGGCGAATGTCAGTGATAAAAACAGCACAGAGCCCCCCTGCGAGTCCAAAGCCTCAGCCTTGTCAGGAGCAAAGCCTTGCAGAGCGGCCAGCCGGAGCGATCAGCTCCCCACAGACCGGCTGTAGGATGAATTGCTGTCACGTTACAAGCTTAACAGCATATTCTTTCTTTATGTGAAATTGCCTTTTCTTTCATCTTTTGTTTCCTATTTAACTGCTGTGTCATAAAAATACACATTGCCCAAAATATCTATGATATTTTTATAATACCACAAGGCAGCAATTAAAATCATGAAGTGTTAATTAAGACTTAAAACAACATATTAAAAATTCTAAGACATTATTTACATGAGCTCACATAGAACACAACCACAAATGGCTGCATATTGTTTGTATCACACTCTCTTTTAAATGAAAGGCTGACTATTAAGTCAGATTCTGCCTCTGTTTCATGAGCACATGCACCCTGTCAGTCTATTTTTTATACATTTCAAATTCAGAATGCCGGCTCTATGGCATACCAGTAAGTTCACAGTAGCACCCTGGTGTTTAAACATGCAATCCTGTCCTACTTCAGGAGGAAAACGGAGGCAAAGCTCTGGCTCCAAACATATTTATCAGCAGGCCCAGTAGATGAACCTACCTGGGCAAAACCACCTCTCTGTTTATTTTAGTGAGTTTATAAAGTTTGCCCCAGTACCAAATTACCATAGGAAAGTTCCCTAAAATTAGCTGAGAAGCCACACCTTAATGTCTCTTTCTAAAGTGGTCTTTTATGTCAGATGAACTCAGTGTACCCTGAGAAGTCAAAACTTCTTTCTGGAATAAAATACCACTTTCTGAAACCTGCCTCAAGCTGCCGCTGCCTGTCTGCATAAGCCACCGCCTGCAGCTCCCTCCTCTATGGGTTTCTTGAGGTCAGGACTAATTATTAATGCTTAAGGCAGGAGAGAATCAACATCTGTTTTCCACACCTCCCTCGCAATTTGCAGTAGCAGGAGTAATAATACTTTGCTAACAAAATCCCCTGCTTTAACGAGTGATTAAAACAGGGGATTTTGTTAGGGAAGTATTACTTGTCTCTATAGCAATGCGGGTGCGCCCAGATGTTTCCAGGAGAAAAGTTTAAAGCAGGCATGAATTCCAGTGAGGCACCTTCAGCATCCCCACGCCGGGTGTCGCAAGGGGCACAACCACCGCGGGGATCCCAGGGGAGCTGCAAGAGGTGGTGCTGGTCCCTGCAGCATCCACGGGGAGAACGGGGGGACCCTCAGCGGGGACCTGGGGACCCCCAGCTGCTCACTGCAGGCCGGGTCTGTCCCTACCTGAGCCTGGGCTGCTCCACGCCCGCGCCCCTCCAGCCCCGGGGCCCGGGGGGTCCCTGGGGTGGGGGCCCGGTGCTGTGCGGGGCTCCCTCGCTGGGGTGGGGGAGTGGGGAGCGCGCCGGCCGTGCGACGGCAGAGGTGCCGTGGCTGGAGGTGCCTCGGGTCAGGAGCTGTGCCGTTATTTGCCGCGGCCCAGCCGTGATGCACCGTGACGGCGTGCAGGGCCAGGGCGGTGGGAGCCGCTCTCCCGACCACGGCGCTCCCGCACTGGGCTGTGTTTACGTGTCCTTTGGTGGAATCGGTGTGGAAATGAGATCCCTGTTCGTCCGTGGCGAGCTTCAGAACCGGAGCCATCCCTACCGCGGGTCGGTGGACGCTGGGAGTGCTTCAAGCCGGCTGGCTGAGGGCTGCTCGCAGGGCGCATGGGGCAGCTGGCGCCGCGCACGAGCCGGGGAGGCCAGGGGGGATACAGCAGCGTGGCCACAGCACGGGGTGCCTACGGACTGTGCATCCCTGCTAGCTCAGCTTGTGGTGCAGATGATGCACTCCAGGGATCCTTTCAACATTTAAAAAAAAAAAACAAAAAAACAAAAAAACCAAACCACCTGAATTCTCTCTTATCTCCCCACAAAATCCAGGCATATTTTCTGGAAAGGGGTCTTAAAACTGTGTGGCCAGCTCTATCACACACATTCAGTAGCGTTTCTCTGAATCATCCCATCGACTTAGAAGTTGGATTTATGAAGTAATAAAAGCGTCAGAATCCAGCCAAGAATGTGTCTGAACTGGCTTTCCAGGAACGGCTGGGCCAGCGTGAACCTCTGCGTCAGGAGCAGCCGCTGGCAGCCAGCAGGCCAGAAGTAACTCCCAGAAGAGTTTTATTCTTTTTTGCTTGTATAGACCATACCCACCACTTACCATCGCTTGTTCTCCTCACCCGTCAGCGGTGCCTTTGAGAGCAAGAATTAAACTAAGCTGAGTTTGTATTTCTGGAGGGGCGTCAGCTGGTGTATCCCTGCCACATCTACAGCTTAACTTCATTCTAGCACAGAGCCGTTCTCCGGGCTGCACAGCAACGGCTGAGGCAGAGCTGGGAGGGGAATCGTTTGCAGGGTCCTGGCTGGAGGACCTGGGCTTTGTTGACCTTCTTGCTGGGACTCGCTGAGTTAAGAGCTCCAGCTCTGCTGCTGCTGGGTATGGCAGCCGGGGAGGCAGCACCTCGTCCCGGCCTGGACGTCACAGTGCCACACCTGAGATGAAACACGGGGACCCCCAGGAGTTTCCCCTCCCGCAACCCCTGGGATCTGTTCCTTTGCAGACCTTCACCCGCATCAGCTGTGGTCCCTGCAGCAGCCGGGTCTCGGCTATTACAGACGTGTAGGTGTGCTGGCCCCCCATCCGCGTACTAAGGAGGGAGAATATCGCTCCTTCCCGGGAGGAGCTTCGTCCTACAGCTCCGGGAGTGAGACAGCCTGGCTCCTCAGAGCAACGAGACAAGACCCCGGTTTGCACGAGCGCAACGAAAAGCTTTATTTGAGTTCTGAGCGCGGCATAGCGCTTAGAGAAAGGGTGAGGGAAGCAGGGCTGTGATAAAAAGAGAAGATGCTTGTTTTCGTGAGCCACGGAGCCAGAGCACCTAAGCTGGAATCTCCTTGTGCTTTGCTCTGCGAGGTTTGCAGCAAACCACGCAGCCACCTTAGTGGGCAGCCTGGGTGATCTGCTCACGGGAGGAAATCACCTTCCCATCCTGGACTTCCTCAAAGATTGTGCGGATTTGACGGGTAGTTACAGGTACTATGACAGAGAAAGAAGGAACCGTTATTGACAGGGAAGGATGGAGGAGCTGTCCTAAAGATTTTCATGGGTAGATTTGTTATTACCAACCACTGCTCAGAAACCCAATATAACCACCACCTTCCTGCCCCTAAATACCTTATTGTATAGATTCAATCTGCACAGATAATCTTCTGAAACATGTTTTGGTGTATCATAAGAGTGGTTTATGTCAATTTACATTTTGAAAAGATAATAAAATAATAATTTTAGTAAATTAGTAGAAAGAGTCTGTGCTAAGAAGGTGACTAAGGATATGACAGAGCTATGTGTGATCAGTGCTTCAGCCAACACATGTTCTTACCTTCTTTCACAGACTGCGAGATGTAGTGAGAAGACATGCTACAGGAGGAGAAAAGGGAAAGAATGGTCAGAAACAGAGAAAAAAAGTGAGTAGTCTCTGGGACAAAATCATTATTTAAAATCCTGCCTTTTCTTCTTGCACCAGTATGTGATTGAAAATGCCTTTTGGAAACTGCCTAGTGATAAAATTGAAAGGCAGGAACTGGAAAGGATGTGTGTGTGCCACGGGGATTCAGACAGAATGGCAGCAGGCAGCCCCGGCGGGGGAACCTGCTCCCTGCCCCGATCACACGGAGGCGGGAGGGGCGGGAGTGGATCCGGGGATGCTGCAGCGCCGTGATACCCGCTGGGCGGCTCTAGGCCAGTAGGAGCAAAAAGGGAGACCCTCTTGCATGCTCTGGCTCAGGAAACGGCTTCACAGGATCCTCCAGGGAAGGCAGGTGGCTCAGTTTTTATTTCCTTGGCTACTACCCATCCCCTCCCGGGGCGCCGGCCCCAGCGCAGCCCCGCTACGTACTGGGCGTCCTCGCCCTCCAGCAGCCGGCGGTACGTGGCGATCTCCTGCTCCAGGCGGCATTTGACGTCCAGCAGGACCCTGTACTCGTGGTTCTGGCGCTCCATGTCGCAGCGCAGCTCGGCCAGCTGCTCCTCCACGCTGGTGATCAGCCCCTGCAGCTGGGCCAGCTGGGTGCCGTAGCGGGCTTCCGTGTCGGCCAAGGTGCCCTCCAGCGCCGCTTTCTGCGCGCAGAGGAGAGGGACGGGCTCAGGGGGGCCCGGGGGGCGGCGGGGCTGGGGGCACCCGCGCGGCCCCCGGCCCGCGCCCCCCTGCGAGGGGGCCGGCCCCTCGTACCGTGCTGAGCTGGGACTGCAGGTCGATCTCCAGGCTCTGGATGGTGCGTCGCAGCTCCGTGATCTCCGTCTTGCCGCTCTGAAGCTGCTCCGTGTTGATGGCCACCTCCCGGTTCAGCTCCTCCGTCTGCAAGCGGGCAAACCCGCGCCGTTAGGGCACCGGCGAGCGGGCACAGCCCCGGGCCCCGCGCGCCCCGCGGCACGGCCGGCAGCCAGCTCACCTTGCTGAAGAACCACTGCTCGGCGTCCCTGCGGTTCTTGTCCGCCAGGCTCTCGTACTGCTCCCGCATCTCGGCCAGGATCTTGGTGAGGTCGATGCCAGGAGCAGCGTCCATCTCCACGCTGATCTCGCCACCCACCTGCCCGCGCAGGGCATTCATCTCCTGCCACACGAGAGAAACACATCATCAGGCAATCCAGCAACCAGCGTATAAAGCTGCTCTTCTTAAGATAGAGTTCTTCAGGACAGGTAGCACCCTTCGGCAGCTATTTCTGGGACAGATCAACAGGGAGCAAACTGGGACCTTTGCTCTGCAATCAGAAACAAAATAGTCCAATTTCTTAACAGATTTCCCTTTGAGTTAATTCTTCGGAGGATAAATCAGAGCCTGTAGCTGGCTTCGTTTCTCAGGAGATAGACCTTCCAGGCCTGAACCTGCTGGGACTGTTAATAAATGTCTAACAGCTACAGCGGATGTTACTGAAATAACCAGTGGTGAATGGATTCTATCCAGGCTTCAGAGGGGATGACTGTTAGCCAGAATGCATCACCTCTACTTCCTTACCAGCACTTCTCATCTTCCCTCCCAGCAGTTCAAAACTCAGCATAGACTTAAAGGTTGGACCAGACCTCATATTTCTGGGCCCGGTCTGGACTTTTTTGAGCCTGGCTCTGTGCTCACCTCCTCGTGGTTCTTCTTCAGATAAGCCAGCTCCTCCTTCAGGTTCTCGATCTGCATCTCCAGGTCAGCTCTGGCCAGGGTCAGCTCATCCAGGACCCTGCGCAGGCCGTTGATGTCGGCCTCCACGCTCAGGCGCAGAGCCTGCTCCGTCTCAAACCTGGGGACACAAAAACAGCCATGAACGTTGCAGGAGATCTTGCCCAGCCGGGGACAGAGCACCTCGGTTTGTTGTTCCCTTCCTCCATGCTGCTGCTGGCCTCGTGGCAATACTGCACGAGCCCGCGGGTGGAGGGACAACCTGCTGATGTGAATGCTAGTGAACGCAGGGGAGCAACTGAGAAATCAGTGTCCATCCGAGTCCATAACATCCCCTTGCTCCTGATATCCCTGGGCTTTGTCACTGGGTCTGGGCTTTGCTGAGCTTTACACACACAAGGTAAATTCACCACAGAGGCACAGTGCAAGTTCTCTGCAACAGGAGAGGTCGTACCACAGAGGAACAAGCAATGGGAATAAAATAGTGACGTTTTGGATGGAAGCAAAACAATCCCTAAGCCCCTGTAAGATTTAGGTAACCATCTGCTTCGGAAATTACACCTGCATTTTGGAGGCTTTGTTTCCACATTGCCTTTTTGGGGTTTGGATGGGATTTTCTCCTCATTTCATCAAACGTCTCTGCAGACTTTGTTCCATTTTTCCAGGAAATGTGGCTTACTTGGTCCTGAAGTCATCGGCTGTCAGCCTGGCATTGTCAATCTGCAGGAGGAGGTTAGCGTTGTCAACTGTGGCCACCAGGACCTGGAGAGTGGAGGATACAGAAGCACTAAATGAATGTCAGGAACCCCTGGCTGACTGAGCGATGGGAGCACAAGTGAGACTGTCGGGACAGGAAGAGTTCTGGGGAAGTCTGGGCTTTCCTTAGCAGAGGCAGGACAAGTGAGACACGGGTGAGACTCACTGCAGGAAGGGGCTGATTCCTCTGTGACCTCCCTTTCCAAAAATCCGTCAGTAAGGATTTCAAAAGGCAGCATGAAGCCACGTAAGATGTGTGAGATCTGACGATGGCATTTGTTCCCATGCTTCAGGGCAGGTGCTGATTGTGCAAGGGTCAAGGAGGAACCTCCTGCTCCCCCTCCACAGCACCCAGCGGCTCTTCTGGCAGGACAGAGGGACCAGGAGGGTGCTTGTGCTTGGTAAACCTTGTGCCCATTTGCTCTGGGATGGATTTTTAATTTCTTGACTGCAAAAATGGAACAAAATGCAGTGAGCAGGTGCCTACAGCTTCTGATTTTTGTATTACAAAACCAGGAGCAAATAATCTACACTGGGAGAAGATTTAAGTCAGAGTTTGGGAAGACATCTGTTACGGGGCCAAGGAGAGGGGGAGAAAATGGATTCCCTGCATCATTTGCCAGCAATCCTGCAGCTCCAGCTGTGCACTGCCTTCCTTCATGTTCACTGGGACAATTCATATGTAAGAAGTAACAGAGAAGAAGAAAGTCAACTCTTGAGTACTTCCTGCAAAATGGAGTGATGGGAATCAAATCAGATCTGAGACAAATCCTCTCAGAGCTGCCTGGGTTGGTGGGTTTGCATCAAGGCTGGCCCTGGGGCAGTAGCTGCCAAGAGGAGGCAAAAAAATCATTCTTGGCCAGTTCTATATTTTCTCTTCAGCACCTAAATCACATCAATAAGGAGAAGCTGAAACAAGTTTGCAAACTCTTTGACTGAATGTTTACAAATATGACATCAATGTTTCACAGTCTGTGCACACCTGCAACTTTCCCTGCACATTCATCTTAAACTCCCCAAAAATATGCCTTAGCAATTCAGACTTGTCTCTTATTCTTCATTTTTGCATTACGTCCTTTTACAGCTTCTTCTTCCAATGAAAACTCCCATTTGTTCCATCTAGAAGGATGTAATCAAAAGCTGAGATTGAGACATCTCTGAATTTCCAGTCTGGCGCCCTGCATGTGCATTTGATTTACATCGTAGTTAGTGTTTACTACATCCAGAGGTAGCAGTCAGTGCTTCTGCTTCCTCTCTGATAACAAGAGGTCCCAGTGCGTTACTCACAGCGTCCTACCTTGTTCCTGAGCTCCTCGATAGTCCTGTAGTAGGGGCTGTAGTCACGGTCTGGACCAGGTCCCTGCTTCTTGTACCATTCCCTGATCTTGACCTCCAGGTCCGTGTTGGCCTCCTCCAGGGCACGCACTTTGTCCAGGTAGGCGGCCAGGCGGTCGTTGAGGTTCTGCATCGTCTCCTTCTCGCCAGCCGGGAGGATGCCATCGCCGCCCCCAAAGCCGCCCCCAAAGCCGCCCCCAAAGCCGCCCCCAAAGCCAGCCCCATAGCTGCCCCCAAAGCCACCGCCGAGGCCCCCTCCTACGCTGCTGCAGTAGCTGCCCCCGTAGCCACTTCCGAGCCCCGAGACGATGCGGGAAGAGACGGAGTAGCTGCCAGAGGCGCCGTGGACGCTGGGGGCTCTGTACCCTCCTCCCCCAACACGCACGGAGGAGAGCCTGCTGGAGCCTCCACCCAGGCCACCGAACCCCTTGAGGGAGGTGGAGGAGGAGTATTGCCTGACCGTGGTGCTCATGGCGAGGGCTGGCGGGGGCTGAAGGGCTGCGGAGAGACACCCGGCTCGGCAGCGCAGGCAGCGAGTGCTCGCTTCCCCCGGCCGGGAGCCCTTTATAGCCCGGGCGGGAGGCGTTGCCGGCGCTTTTCGTCACCCCTGACAGCCAGAGCCAAATTCCAGAATCATCATTTTTCTCTTCCCCGATTTCACGTCTTTTGTCACATCCCACTAGAAGCACTACGGCACACACAGGATCTCCTCCTTCCGCTTTAGTTCCCAGCACCCAGCGTGATTCAGACCGAAGGCTCCTTGCTCATGGCTATGTTTTAGCATTTCTCTGTTGCACCTGAGCCGCAGAGGTGCTCGCTCCAGCTCCACCCCGCTGCTCCTCCTTGAAGTAACACAAGTGGATCCTCTGTGATATGCCAAGTTGCCCGCAAGTGTCTTATATCATTAAAAATCTACAAATCTATTTATTTGCTTCTTTAAAGAGTCTAAAGCCAACAAAAGCTGCTGACTTAAGAGCTCTGCACATCCATAATCTTTATATGGGCCGACCCAAAGCCAGATGGAAATGTTCCCGCCGGGACCTCCATCCCAGGGCAAGCACAGACCTGGCGGTATCTGTGTACTGATACTGTATTTGGCAGGAGTCTTGTAGCTCAAAAGAGAAGAAACTCCAGTAATTTCTGCTTATGTGCTGGTCTGGGGTGAATCTCTCTACAGAGACTGGAAAGTCCCTACAACAGTGGTTTTTCAGGCAGTTTAAAAGGCAGATGTCTGATGTTTCCCAATGGCACCTGCTTTGCTGCATCACCTTTCACAAGCTCCACGGAAGCAGTCTGACTTCTCAAAGGTTTCTAGAAGCTAAAAACTTCTGTGCCACAATTTATTGTATGACATTGCTGAGGCAAGTTTGAATGCTTAAATAGTCTAAATCAGAGAAAAAGAATTTGAAGCTGCATTAGATACCCACTGCCAGGACACGTTACGTGCAACTTCCAATGGGAAGAGTGATCAGTCCTTATCAGGGTTTATGCCCGTGTGCAGATAGGCTTTTTCTACAGATTTGCAGCTACAAGACACAATGCTAGTGTAACTCGGCAGGACCAGCAGCGCCTGCATCAAAAGTACTGATGGGCAAAGTGCAACCCAGGCAGCAGTGAGGAGCTGGAACACCGCGACCACCTGCGAAGCAGAGGGTTTAAACAGGACAATGCAGAAGAGATGTAGAGATGAGGCAATGCAGCCACCCTGATAGCCACACCTGCATCGTGCTATTAAGGGATTGAGCATAGTGATTATAGTAATGCAGCTGGACAGGTATTAGCGTGAAAAAAAGCAGCAGAGAACTAGGAAGGGAGACACTGCACTGTTTTATTCTTTGTTGGGAAAAAAAAAAAAACAAAAAAAAAACAACAAAACAAAACCTTTTCTGATGTGGCGCCAGCTCTTGCAGTATACAGTGGAAAATCGCACACCCAACCTGCTGGCCTGCCTGGCTCCAGCGATGTCATTCTCCTCTAAGAGAAGTTATTTCTTCTTTTAGGCGAGGTGCCTGTGAGGTAGTGAGTGTTATAGGGATTAGGAGCTCTTTTGTGCTTTCTCTCCTGTCCTGATCTCCTTCCTTCCCTTGGCCCCTCTGGATGTTTTCACATTCTAATGCGCTTAACTGATTTTGGAGTTGCTAGGATGTTCCCAGAGCCTCACCCTTGGTAATTCACAGTGCCTCCTTTCTTTCATCTGTTCCCTGAAGGATACAATAACAACAACGCTTTATCTGCATCCCTGTTAGATCTCAAGGACTTAATAGGGAGTCACGTTCTCTTCCTTTAGCATCTCCAGGAGAGGTGGTGTGATTTCTTTCTGGGCGGCCACCAAGGAAGCAGCTTAAGCAGAAGGAGACTCCAGATCCTCTTTGTCGAGGGCTCAAGTCCCTGGGCAGCACTGCCTCAGTACCGATTGGCTTCAGATCTGGATTTTTGACTCCTCAAATTCCAAAATCTGGGGATTTGGGATGCACATGTGCCCCATCCCTCAGAGAGCTGGGGAAAAGGAGGGGAGCTGGGAGCAACCCACCGCTGACAAGCAGCAGAGCCTGCAGCCGACTGTGCTCCACTGGCGGCGCAGGCCTGGGGCAAGCTGGCAGGGCGAAGCTCAGGTCCCGCTGGCCCGTTTCCCTCCGTGGCGGGGGGTACGGGGTTGCCCAACAGCCGTCGTGTGGGAGCCGTGCTCAAGGGCCGTCCCTCCGCCACCCCTGCTACCAGCGCTTCCCGACGTGCTGCCTTTGCTCATGTTGGCTCTAGCAAACACCCTCCTGCCCCAGGCAGTTCCCATGTTGGCCGTGAGCCCCTCCCGTGGGCCAAAAACTGTGCTGTGAGTTCCGTGCCCCCCTGCTCGGGTCACCTTCTCACTTTAGGCCAAGCTATGAGTCAGCCAGAAGGCGACAACTGCCTGGGAACGAGGCAAAGCCCTGCCACAGCCCCACAGACAGGGAGTATCTGGAATTAGGGCCTTTCTTTCTGTATTATCATGACCTCAGCCCATGTTTAAGGTCTTTTATGGTAGCTGGCACAGGAGCCTAAGAGGAGATCTGGAGACTGTCCTGCAATATCAGCTTTTTCTGGTCTTTTCCAATCAATGTTCTTGCTAGTCAGCTGCTGCCCTGACCTCTGGCTGAGCTCCTAAACAATAATCCCCAAACCAGCCCCACTCTTACGTGAGAAGCCCTTAGCACAAAGTTCCCCTTGCGCCGGCTCTGTTGACAGGGCATGATTATACAGAGGAGCATGCACCACTTCAGCTATTTTATGTTACCAGAAGAATTTAGTCTCCCAGGCTCTCCTCAAACACTCACCCACAATAAATTCCCTTGAGATAAAAAAAAAGAAAACACATCATAATGTTCAGGAGATGGTATCAGAGTCTGTTCCAGCAAGAAGCATGCCGTAGATGCTATCTCTCCCTCAGATGTACTGCAGGGGGAAAGAAGGAACTGAACTCCTCCGCTGGCATGGGAAGGGAGGTGGAATTATACCTTAGGAGTGGACAAGCAGCACAGGGTAACCCAACGTGGTGAGGGCTGGTGTGAAAAGGCCAGGTCAGTGTATTGTATTTCCTTCAAACAATAGCACTTAATTGTGCTTTTGATGCCATGAATAAGAGCTAATTAGGAGTCATTGGGTTTCCCCTGTGGGCCAGCTCCTCCCCAGAGCCTTTCCCAGCAATTCACAGCTCAGTACAAACCGGCTGAAGGATGCAGCCCTGGGAAAGATGTCTCCTGCACCTAAGGAACGGCAGGCACAGCTTCACCCTTGCTGACAGGTTTGCTCTGTAAGTTTGAACAACACCAAAATGGGTAACAAATATATCAAGGCGTGGAGTGAAATATGCTGTCTTTGCTTCTCTCTCTGCTGCTGATTCTTTATCATCTGCCAGGACATGTCCTGACAGCCCCCTGCCATTATCTGGAAAAGAGCGATCCTAGATCTGTTACCATGAAAGGAAACTTCGTGGTGTGTGTGCAATGGAAACTCCCTCGGGGCAGTTAGCCACCAGGCAGCGAGCCGAGCCCAGGCTGGCCCCAGCGGCGGGGTGATGGGTGATGGGTGATGGGTGATGGGTGATGGGTGATGCTCACCCGCTTTGGTCCCCTCCTGCCCACTGCGCTGCAGGACAGGCAGCACGGTCGGGTTGAGTCCCTCCAGCTGTAGAAGGGGAGGGGGCAGCAGCAGGGGCAGGAGGGTGAAGGACTGGCTGGAGGGAGGACAAGGGGAGTGACCTATTGTCCTTCTCTGGGCTCCAGACCGGGTCCTGCCAGCGCTGAAGCCAGACCTCGCTCTGCCCGGGGGACCCAGCCAGCAGCCCCCCCCCGCAGCCCTGCATCTCGACCGGCCCTTTTCTCCTCTCATCAGTGTGGAAGAGGATGCTGCTCCCCCACGTTGGCCCATGCCCCAAGCTGTTTGCAGAGCACCAGGCGAGGTCCTGGCCCCGCGTCATTTGACGCTGCACAAGCCACCTCCACCAGCGAGCACCTCGCTGGAGCACGGACCCGCTCCCGGGCCCGAGACCCGCTCTGCCCATTTCAGCACCGCGTGTGCCAAGGGATCCCCTTACGGGAGCGATTCCCAGTGAATCAGCGCTGCGAACACAGCCAGTTCACACGCTCCGTCACAGCTCAGCCAAGGGGCTGGGCAGTGCAGAGCCACGCCGTTATCTCGGCTTTGCTTCGGGGACCACAGACCCGTCTGGCACTAGATGATTTTTCAACAGATCCTTCAAGCTCTTCCCCCCCCCCCCCCCCCGCCCGGGTCCTGCTGCAGTTATTCTTCCTCGCAGCCACCCAAGCGCTGTGACCGCTCTGCTGGCGTGTTTTAGCAGGAAACATACTGAATGGCTTTTGGTCTTGTCTCCAAGGACTGGCTCAGCCCTGCTTGGGGACGAGGAGCCCATTCCATAAAGCTCAGCGGTGTGAGCAGCTGGGCTCCCTCTTACCCTGACAGGGCTCTCCAGTGACATCCCAGCTCGGGCGCAGGCCAGTAACAGTATGGAGAACCATGGCCCAGAGATGGGGATTCCCTGGTCCAGAGCCCAAGGGGCAAGCTGCTCCGCACTGGAGGGGGACCAAGGCTCTCCCTGTGAATCTCTCCGAGCTGCAGTCAGAGGCATGACCAGAGTCCTTCCAGCTGGCAAAAGGAGGACAGACAGACAACAAATCAGTGTTTGTTTTACTCTAGACAAAAGCGTATTTTTTGTGTCTGAGCAGAGCCAAACTCCAAAGCTATCACGAACTGCTTTAGCTCTATCTCCACAGCAAACTCCAACCTTTGAAGTTTCCCACGTTCTTTCTTCAGTGTCTGTCTTCCAGATAGCAAGCAGCTCTTGCATTTCCTCACATCTCATTCTGTCAGTGTGGAAATACGATCACACCCTGTCTGTTCATTCCTCGCCCCTCGCTGAGCACAGCAGAGCAGGCAGGGAGTTGCACACGTACCTTCCCATGCCAACTGTGGGCAACAAACAGCAGCTCTGTGTTCACGCTGTGGCCACACCTGCTGTG